ACTAACTGAACAGCAACCTCATCAGAAATTTTACACAGTAATTCAAAAGTAGAAATAACCTAACCAAAGAACTTGGTATCATGGTCTCTTGCCGTGCGTGCGTGCGTATGCGCGCGCCCGCTCGCTCGCACAAATGTACATGTACATGTTTGTTTTGGTACCGGGGCTCAAACTTGGGTCCTTGCACTTGCACAGCAGGCAGCGAAACCACTGAGCTAAATCCCCGGCCCAAAATTCACTTTTTTTTTTTAGCTGAAGATTTCTTCTTTTTTTGGTACCTGGGATCCAACTCAGTCCTTGCGCTTGCACAGCAGGCGGCGAAACCACTGAGCTAAATCCCCGGCTGTTTGTTTTTAACTTTTACAAAATTGATACCCCTAGTCCACCTACCATTTGGAAACTTGCTTTTTTTCTTTCGCTTGACATTTCTTCAGATATATGTTTCTTTTTTGAGTTGTGTAGGCTAATATGGACCTTTTGGTTGTGTAATTTCCATTTTCTATGTACCATAATTTATCAACTCATTATTTGGTTTCATTAGTCAGATATGTTCTGAGTACCTTTGATATTCCAGGCTCATTCTAGGTGCTGAGGATTCAATAGTGAACAAGAAAAGTCTTTGTTCTTCCTGAGCTGAAGATCTAGTTTGAGACAGAATATAAAAACATTTAAATAGTGGCATAGTACCAGAGAGTGATCAGAGCTACAAAGGAAAGTATAGGGAGAAAATAGAAGGAGTCAGGGAAGGCAAGTTATATGCATGTATGAAAATGTCACAAAGATACCCATATTGTGTTCAATTAATATATGCTAGAAATTATAATTTAAAAAGAAAGCTTCAATAAATGCCTCAGCTAAAAAAAAAGGAAAGGAAAAGAAAGAAAGAAAGAAAGAAAGAAAGAAAGAAAGAAAGAAAGAAAGAAAGAAAAAATAAATTAGAAAAGTGTGTAGGAAGTGAGCAGGAATGTTTTGAAGATTGACCAACCATCTTGGTTTGCCCAGGATTATACTGGTTTTAGCACTGAGAGCCCTAAGTCCCAGCCAAACCAGGAAAACCTGTCATCTGTAATCAGCACAGGCCTCTCCAAGAGGTGACCCTAAAACGGGGACTTGTGTCATGTTAGTGGAAACCAGCCCTGCACAGGTCTAGGGAAGAGCTTGCTAAGCAGAGGGAAAAATAAGCACAAGGCCTCAGAAGTGAGAGGGTACTTTTTGTGCTGAGCAACAGCGGGAGCAAGCTAGAGGGCTGGGTGGGCTGGATGAAGAGAGTGGGTGCCCTGGGGACAGTCACTACGTAATGTCCTCCAGGTTCATCCCTATTGCTACAATTGACGAGTGTGATGGAGTTTTTGAGCAATAAAAGCACAAGATCTGATTTACATTTTGAAAGACTTGGTGGTGAAAGATTGTGTAGTATTAGGTAAATATTGAAGGGAGAGGGTGAAGGGGGTGTGTAGAAAAGCTATTGCAAGTGATGATGATGGTTTAGGCAGGATGGCTATAGCACTGGTGGTGAGCAGCAGTGGGCTCTGGAGATTTTGCATATTTTTTAAACTTTTTTTTCAAAAATTGAATAAGTATTTATTGTTCCAGAAGGTACATTACTTTTTATACATATTTCATAAATGATACAGGATTTTACACATTCAATATTTTGCTATTGTTTAAAGGTATTTGTTTTATTTTTAATTGACACATGGTAATTGCACATATTTTTAGTGTGATATTTCATGCATGTATACATTGTGTAATGCTCCAATCAAGATTTTTTTTTTCTTTTTTGGGTACCGGGGATCTAACTTGGGACCTTGCGCTTGCGAGGTAGGCAGTGAAACCACTGAGCTAAATCCCCAGCCCTCCAATCAAGATATTTACATATCCATCACCCCAAACATGTATCAGTTGTTTGTGGTAAGAATATTCAAAATCCTTTCTACTAGTTATTTTGAAATATATAATGCAATGTTATTAAGGATAGTTTACTGTGCAATAGAAGACCAGAATTTATTTCTCCTATCTGTAAATTTTTGCTTGTTAATCTTTCTCTTTCTCTGCCCCTTGCCCTCCTCAGCCTCTGGAGTCACTATTCTACTCTCTACTTGTATGAGGTCCACTTTTTTTGCTTCCACAAATGAGTGAGATCATGCAGTATTTATATATTGTACCTGGTCTATTTCACATAATATGATGTCCTCCAAGTTCATCCATGTTGCAGCAAATGCTAGGATTCCATCCTTTAGTGCTGAGTTATATTCCATTGTATATATATGTGTGTGTGTGTGTGTGTGTGTGTATATATATATATATATACATACATACCACAGTTGCTTTATCCATTCAGCCACTGATGGATACTGAGATCAATCCCCTATCTTGGTTATTATGAATAGTGCTGCAGTAAACATGGGAGTGCAGATTTCTCTGACATGCTGGTTTTCTTTTCCAGATAGATTTGAATGTGATTTCATGATGGAATGGAGGTGGAATAAAACTGTAAAGTTTCAAGAATGAATTCCAAGTTGTTAGCTTGAAGTTTTGAGTAGGTCATAATGAGATGACTGAGGGAGGAGCAGATGACTGAAGCAGAGGGGAAGGGATGAGAGTCAGAGCTTTGTTTTAGGGCCGGGGATTTAGCTTAGTGGTTCTGCCACCTGGTTCGCAAGCACAAGGTCCCGAGTTCGATCCCTGGTACCAAAAAAGAAAACAAAGAGCTTTGTTTTAGACATGTGAAGGCTGAGATGCTTCCAGATATGTGGCAAATTGTAAGGAAGCAGCTATGTAAGGCCAGCGTTCTGGAGAGAATCAGAACTAAAGAGATAAATCTGGGAACTGTCTAATATAGTTGGTTAAGCTATAAAACTGGTTTTGATCCACTAAGGAATAAGTATAGAGATTCAGGGACTGAGCCAAGTTTAAAAGATGAAAAGAGGAGAAAATCCAAGATAGATGGAGAAGTCAATGATCCATAAGGAACACCAGGAGCTCGCAAAGCCAAGAGGGTAAAATGAGTGTGCCAAAGCCTTCGAAGAGATGGGCATGGTGGTGCAGGCCTGTAATCCCAGCACTCTGGGTGGGTGAGGCAGGAGGATTACAAGTTCAAGCCCAGCCTGGACAACTTTGTGACTTATGAGACCCTATCTCAAAACTTAAAAATAAGCCTAGGCATGGTGGTTACTTGCCTGTAATTCCAGCACTCAGGAGGCTAAGGCAAGAGAAGTCACCATAGTTTGAGGCCAGCCTGGGCTACATAGTGAGGCAAAGTCCACTCTGGAATATATACTGAGACCCAGTTTCAAAAAAAAAAAAAAACCAACACAAAAATTTTAAAATAAAATAAAGAAGGGCTTGTAATGTAGCTCAGGTTCTGGGTTCAGCCCCCAGTTACACACACACACACACACACACGCACACACAGAAGAAAAGAAAGAAAGATGGGGAGATGAGGATGGAGTGTTTCCCCCTGTCTTTGGCACATGTAAGCCACCATCCACAGGTGCATTGGAGTGTTGGGATAGAGCCCTGCTTAGAATGGGTTCAAGAGAGAAAAAGGAAAGGACTGGAGATGATAAGCCCAGAAGACTCTTGAGGAGTTTAACTAAAAAGAGCAAAGAAATGAAGCAGCATCTCAATAGGGCAAGAAGGGTTTAAGGTGAATAGCATGAGCTCTCACGGCTGGAGGGTGTTCTGAAGTGCCCTATAGGGGGACATTGAGGTTATTATTACCATGATTATTTTACTCTTACAAGTAGTGCTTGTTGTTGAACAGAAATGTCCTTGTTCTGGGTATGTGTTTTGTCAACATGACATCCAGAACATCTGTGTACTGATTCAACATTTCTGTTTTGTGGAAAGGTGAAAGGCTTTACACTGTTTACTCCATTTTTCTTGGACCAACACTTCCAGGTTCCCTGCATTTCAGAGCCTGCAGAGAACTATAGCCTGTATGCCCATGCAGAAAGTTCCAGAAGGTCAGGACTATTGGGCCCATCAGCCCACCCTCCCTCCCTCCCTCCCTCCCTCCCTTCCACAGAATACTCTCTCACCCCTCATGAGTGCCTAGGGGAAGGAAAGGTCCCTGCACAAGCCCAATTATTCATCAGACAGCAAGGCCTTTGTGGGGCAGGACACCAAAGAATGCTGTCGCCTACATAGCTGGCGAGCTGTGCGCCAAGGAGGCCTGCCCCAGGGACGGTGGGCCAGAGCTCTTGAGTGGCCAACAGAGAAGAACCGAAGGGCCAAGTGCTCAGCAGTCAGAGACGGAGGCCAGCTGGCCTAAGCCCGGACTCCAGCTTTCTCTGAAATCCCTGTCGGTTCTTGGGAATGGAGGGCCCTCAGCAGCCAGGGTCCGAGCCCCGGTGACTGCTGCTCCTGCCCCAGGGGTCCACCCAGCACATGGGGACTGTGTTCTTAGAGATGGCCTACACATGTGTGCATATGAGTCCACACACGGGGAGATTTACTGCTGTAGACCAGTGTGGATACAGACACACAGATGATGTGCTCCCACACACTTGTGCAGCTGTACAAACATGCACATATTAACACACACTCCGACTCATCTGCAGGCAGACACCCCAACATAAGCATGCTGGCATCTATAAAATAGACCTGGTACACACTATACACAGACACTCTGAAGTGCATCCACACCATCCACGTGGAGACGCACAATGATGCCTAGACACACACAGACATAACGGCACGAATGTGGTCACCTTGACACATAGATACATTCGCACACACATACCCACATGACATAAATACATGAAATACAGGGCCACACTGACACATCAAGACACACTGAAATACATCTGTGTGCAGAATGCTTGTGTACACACACGACACATACCCTGGCCTGCGTGACCACACTCATTGTCTAACAAGCCCTAGGATCCGGGCTTTCTTGAGCTGTTACCCAGCTCCCTCTTTCATTCTCCCAGGGGGAAATGGTGTCCCCGAGGGAACAGAGGTCTCCTGTCCTATCTTAAGCTCTGCTGGATCCCGTGTGACATCAGCCAGCCTCCACTGCTGCCACCGCCACTGGGAGTTGTGAGGTTTGTGCCGGGCTGGGCCAGCACCAGGCACTGACACTTCAGCTCTTGTTGGGAGAACAGAGAGAGGTTCTTGTCTGCTGCCTGTCCTCGGCTCCACTGCTGGGCCCCCGGAGGCTTTTCCTCAGGCTGCACAGGTATGTGGGGCCAGTAAGGTCTGTGCCTAGCACAGAAGCCACCAGAGTCAGCCCTAGGGGGTGTGGCTTTGTTGCAAGCTGCCTGTGGAAGCCAGCCCAGATGTACTCCCTCCTCTGTACTTCCACAGCTTGCTTTCTTGGGGCCTGGCAGGGCTGGGCCTCTCAGGGTAGCCTGGCTATGGGACTCCCTCCCTTCCCTGTGGTCACTTTCCTAGCTCCAGAGAAGGCCGTAGAGTGGCCTTGTAACAATTGGTGGTATCTACTCAGACAGACTAGTCTGTAGCCCAGGGCCCACGGTGGGCCAAAGCTGTGTCTTGGGTTGCACAATTTCCAGCAGCCCTGAGAGCAGCTGGGCTCTCAGTTGAGATCTTAGCTCTTAGCCTTGAAAGTGGGAAGTGCAGGGTTTATGGGGTCCTGAGCATCCTAAACCAGGGCCTGGACACCCTGGCTTCTTCCACATCACAAGGCAAGGGCAGAGAAGACACAGCACTGCTGGCTGCATAGACCAGCTGGTCACTTCCTCTGGTGCCTGACCTCAAATAGACACTGGCCAGTCTTGGGGCTCTCTTTGACTATGGTCCAGGCCCCCAGGGAAACTCATGTTCCTGGGCACTGAGTGGAAGTCCTTGTGGCAAAATTATAATCAGCACAGAACCCATCCTGGGACCATCCACAGGAAGTGGGGGTAGCCCACAGCCTATATGGGAGTCTGGGGATTATAGCCTGCCTCTCACAAACTGAGACCCTAGAAAGCTCTTTTCTAGGCCTCAGGTGCCCACCTGTGAAGTGAAGGAAGGCGTCAGACTTTAATCCTGTAAGATTTCTTCCTTCCCTGGTTCTGGAGCTGCTGTGGCTCACAGGGGTCTTGCTGCCCTGGATGAACCCAGCCTTTGAAAAGCCCCAGCCTGGAACAGGCTATCCCTCACTGTCCCCCTCCATCCTGTCTGAGATGTTAAGTGATGAAGGCAGGGTCCAGGGGACATCATTTCTTGTCCTATCTATGTAGGGATTGCTAACCCCTGGGATAGGAGCTGCTCAAGCTGAGGCAGGGGTTCAGGGTTGGGGAGGCAGGAGAAGGCAGCCATGCCTGAATCACTGGAAGAGGACTCTCTCACACCTCTTCTCCCTACACCCCTAGAGCCCACTTGCTTGTGGCTACAGAATGGCCTCCAGCCCAGCTGAGATCCCTAGCCCACAGGTGAGTAGTTCTTGGTCTCAAACCCAGCACTAGGGGCTCACTTTCCTCCCAAGGCTGGGTAAATCTGGAAAGACACTGGCCAGTCCCATAGGCTGTCCTAGACCAGGTCTGGGAGCCAACAGGGAGCACAGTGGCTCACAGAGGTGGGCCATTTGGAGAGTAAATTGAGAGATTTGAGTGAGAGTTTCAATCAGATGGGGTAGAAAAGTTATGGAACTGGTTGTGAAGACAGATAGGGTTGAATCCTGGCCTAGTTCCCTATAAGACCGTGGACCACTCCTCTCTGGTTTATTTCCTCATCCTTACAACTGGCACAACAGCCAGCCGTCCTATGTGGCTGTTATAAGCAGGTGATATGGTGAGGGATTGGATGGATGGGTGGGTGGGTAGGTGGGTAGAAAAATGGAAAGAAATGAAGGGAGGGTGGGGGTAGAAATAGGCTAGTAGAGATGTTGGAGAAGGAACCAGGCCTGGACTGGAGAAAGAGGGGACCTATTAATCACCTCTTGTTTAAAAAACTGTCTTAAAGACCGGGGATTTAGCTCAGTGGTTCCAGCGCCTGCCTCACAACCCCAAGGTCCCAAGTTCAATCCCTATACCTAAATAAATAAACAAATAAATAAATAATAAATAAATGTCTTCAGCCTTCCAGGGCCAATGGGAACATCAACCTGGGGCCTTCAGCCAACCCAAAGTGAGTTCTGGTCTGTCAAGTGACTTTCCTACCTGGCTTCCCTCAGACCTAGCTCCCCTTGCCTTGGGAATAAAATCCAAAGTCTCTGGTATGGTGATTAAGTCCTCTGTCATCTGGGCTCGGGGCTGCCTCCAGCTTCATCACGCACTAATTCCCCAGCCATTGCCATTGCTGAGCCTTTTGCCTGCAATACCCTCTAACATCTGCACTGTTAGCAATTCCCCACCCAGAGGCCATTCTTGGGGTGGGGGCCCAATGCTTGCTCTCTATGTAGTGAGCTGTTTTCCTCTTCTTGCCTGTTGTCAACTGGACTGTGAGCTTCCTGAGGGGAAGGGCAAGTCTTACAATCCTCTCTTGGCTAGGAGGATGAGTTCTTTAGGATCGAGGTGATATGGCCCCTAGAAAGCTGCCTGCGTTTCCAAATTCCAAATTTAAAAAGAATTTGCACTCAGGAGCCTGCATATGTTGATCCATGTTCTTTTCTCTTCCTCCAGTGCCTGTCCCACAGACTTCGACTTCCTCAAAGTCATTGGTAAAGGGAACTATGGGAAGGTGAGTTGAGAGGAGAGAGTGGGTTTGCCCTTCTCCCGTTTCCTTTGCCCCCTGCATACCACTTGCGTGTGCAAAGAGAGAGCTCACATTCCTGCGTAAGGGAAGCAGTCATTCATAGGGCTTTGCCTTTGTGCTTCTACTCAGGTCCTGTTGGCCAAGCGCAAGTCTGATGGGACTTTCTACGCAGTGAAAGTGCTGCAGAAAAAGTCCATCTTAAAGAACAAAGAGGTAAACTGAATCTGAGTGAAGCTTTCTTTTCCACTTCAAGCTCACTGCCACTTCTTTTTGGCTGGTAAATCTGCTCATGCTCATCTCAGCAGCCTTTTCAGAGCAAAACTGCCAAAGCCCAGCACATGAGCCAGGACATCGCCAAATACAACTTCAGCAGAAGCACACTTAGAGTTCTACCATTACCTGGGAAGATCTAGAAAAAAACAAAACCACAGCATGGTGCCTAACCTGAAGAGGAGCTCTTATCCTAACAATTACAAAATCCATCAAGGAGTTATAGACTAAGAAAATATGTTCTGGATAGCACAAAAAATAAATAAGATGAAAACTCCAGGATCTAGTGATTCTCAGATTCCTTTATGATTGGAAGCACACTTACAATGATCTGTTTGCTTTCGGCAGATAGTCCATCTTGAACAGGATGCTATTTGATATGTTTATTTAGGTTTATTTGCATTGTTTTTGATGCGCATCTCCAGAAGTCATCTTGTAGAGATGTAGGCTGGGTAGATCTTTAGAACAAGGTAATTTATTCGGCCCTGAAGAACTACTGTTGACTCTTCTTCCTTGCTCTCTTTATTTATTCCGTATGCGATGCATATTTATTCAACAAAAGAAGAAGACAGTTCTTATGCAACCACAAATGTGACACAATTTCTGACTACCTGTAACTTTTCAAATTATAATTATTATAAAATCTTAAGGCAAAAAAACCCCCCAAAAAACAAACAAACAACAACAACAAAAAGAGGTAACAGAGCTCAGGCACAGGCACTTCTCCTCAAAAAGCTCTCCAACCCTATGTGGCTTCCAAAAATGATCCCACCTCCAAGAGGCCCTCAGAGCTAGGCACAGAAGTAGGTGCAGCAAGGGGTCCAGTAGGTACCCAGGAGACTGCTCCTTCTCAAGTAAGGCAGTGCCCAGTGGGAAATACAGGGCTGCATGAAGGACATATTTCCTGTCCTGTCAAGGTGCCAGGCTCCCCATCTGCACACTTTGTACTCTCCCATTATCCTTCAAGCCAAGGCCAGCCTGGATTTTCAGATGCCTCCACCTACTGGGTCCCTTTAACATCCAATCCCATTAGGAGGACAGAGAGAGAGGACTGAATGTCAAGTCAAGGGACTCAGGAGAGTGACTAATGCTAATGAGAATATCATGAGAGTAGGAGGTGAGGTCTTTCTGAAGGAGGTGGTCTTGCAGCTGGTCTTGACAGTAGCATTCCACTGGTCTAAAAGGAGGGTGGGATGCCCTGGCAGGGAAAATAGCATGAACAAAGGCATGAATATGGATAGAATATGGCTCTTTTTTTTCCTACAGATTTTCCCTGGGACTCATTTACTCATCAGATATGCTTTGGTTTTCCCGCTGGGAACAGGAATTTCTACTCCAGGGGCTGAAACTATACTGACAAGGAGTGGCTGGGGATGAGTCTGACCATTCTGGCCCCTGAATACTAGCAAGGAGCCTGGGCTTGGCTCTGAGGGCAATAAGGAGCCACCCACAGGTGCTTGAGCATGAGAAAGTCCTGGGCAGGACACCCCCACAATCAAGGCCACGTGGGGTTGTACTGGGATGAAAGGGGCTGTGGTGGGCTGTGACATAGTTCCCTGTCTGTGTGACTCTACAGCAGAGCCACATCATGGCAGAGCGCAATGTGCTGGTGAAGAATGTGCAACATCCGTTCCTTGTGGGCCTGCACTACTCCTTCCAGACCTCTGAGAAGCTCTACTTTGTGCTTGACTATGTCAATGGAGGGGAGGTGAGTGGGCCCTGGGCTGACTGGTGTCTAGGAGCTGTCCATTCCACATGCCCACTGTGTGCCAGGTTCTGGAATGATCTCACCATGTTCTTACAACAGACACACTTTGTAGATGAAGTGATTGAGGCTCAGGGAAGTAGCTCATTTGCTCAAGGTCAGCCAGTCCATGTGAAGATTTGAGTGTAGGTCTGTCTGACACCTAGTCGTAATGCTTTCTTGCCTTTCTCACATGAAGCTGCCCACAGACTCATCTTATTAGATATGGGAAATGTCAATTCTAAGAACTCTATGGTCAAGATTTCCAATGCACTAATTTTATATCATAGGCCACAGGGTAGGGGGTATCTTGTCCTTATCATAAATAGAGACCTGAAGGCCAGGGATTTAGCTCAGTGGTTCCACTGCCTGCCTCGCAAGTGCAAGGACCCGAGTTCGATCCCTAGTACCAATAAATAAATAAATAAATAGATAGATAGATAGATAGATAAATAAATAAATAGAGACCTGAGCCACCTGGTGATCCAGAAGCATGACTGTGACAGTCTAGGCTCCCTATTGGACTTCATTCTGTCTCACTGGACAAGATGGCAACACATAGTGGGACTGCACCTCAGTGAGTCCAGATTTAACCTGTATAACTGAATACCTTCCAGTCTGATGCCAAGAGGGGAGTCTTTGCCCTGTGTCCCTAAGTGAAGGGCCTTGCCTGTGACAGATGGGACAGGTAACTTGGGCTCAGTGAGACAGCATGTATTGATCAGCTTTCCCATTGCTGGCACAAAATACCCAGCACTCACAACTTAAAGGAGAAGAGGTTATTTTGGTTCACACTTTCAGAGGATTCAGTCCACAGTAGGCCGACTCCAGGACAGAATCGTCGTGGCAGAAGGGCATGGCAGAGCAAAGCTGCTCAGTTTATGGCTTCCAGGAAGCACTGGAGAGGAAAGAGCTAGGAACCAGATATATTTGCCAGTGTCAAACCTCCACAACACACTGAGATGTCTGCTTTACTAATCTTCTGGGCATCTCTTAATCCAGTCAAGCTGATGATCAGGATTAATGCCCACACAGCCGTAATCATTGTATCTCTTGAGTCAGAAGAAAAGCACGTCTTTGAGCCATATAGTTTCAAATCTCATCTCTGCCAATTGTAAGCTCCATGATCTTTGGCAAGTCAACTAACTGTTCTGAACCCCCAGGTTCCTCTTACATGAAACCACCATTATATTTGATGCTTTGAAGGTTGTCATGAGGATTGAACAAAACAAGAGATATGAAAGGGAAGTTGACTTGGAGTCTGGAATGCAGGAGATGCTTAATCAATGCTAATTAATTTTTCCTCCTGCTGACACTGGACATGAGACTGCTCTGTGGGGGTAGGGCCAGCATGTACTCTATGGCCTGCAGCTCAGATTAGTGTGACAGTGGCACAAGGGAGGAGTTATGTGGGCCCCTGTCCTGTACTCTGGAAGCTGGAGCCACACAACCTCTCTCACATGCCTCCTCCAGCTTTTCTTCCACCTGCAGCGGGAGCGCAGGTTCCTGGAGCCCCGGGCCCGGTTCTACGCTGCTGAGGTGGCCAGCGCCATTGGCTACCTGCACTCCCTCAACATCATTTACAGGTGAGGTCTACCAGTGGTTCAGAGCCAGGCCCCATTCTTTCTTGTTCCAACAGCTGGGGGATGTGGCCCCCTAAATCCTAACAGAATTCTGGTGAACTTAGGCTTTTGTCTGAGGAGGGACCAGCAGCTGGGGTAGGGTTGGGGCATCCTCCTTCCTACAGCCAGGTACCCAACCTCCCTACATTTTCCCTCTGTACCTCTGAGAGCCTTCATGACTGTCTTTCCACCTGGACCCAGGGTCCACAATTCTCACTAAATGGCTAATACTCCATCAGACTATTTTCTCTTATTTTGTGCAGGGACCTGAAGCCAGAGAACATTCTCTTGGACTGCCAGGTTAGTGTGTGTGTGTGTGTGTGTGTTTGCAATGAGTCTTTGTGTACAGGTATGTCAGCATTGTAGATGCATGCATATGGGTAGAGGGGACATTTCTCTGTGTGTGCATGTGTGTTATATGCAGGGAGACTATATCTACATATATATGTGTGTACACATGTTTATATTCAAGGAGCCAGGTGAGGAGGGTAGGGGTGGAGCCAAGTAGAGGCTAGTGGATTTTGTAGTCCTTCTGTCTTGGACCAGGTTCCCTGGAAACAGACTTTGAGATGGCGAGGTGAGTGCAGGTGGCTTATTGGGGAGCACTGTCCAGATACAGCTTAAAAAAGGGTGAATAAGATGGGGCTGGGCAGAGGAAGCATCTCACTTACATCATGGGTCCAAGTGAGGGCTCAGCTGATCTCACAGGTTGGGGGCCCAGGATCGTCCCTAGTTGAGGCAAGGAGACTGGGCCTTTGTGCCCCTGTATGGATGAGTCACTGGATGTGGGCTGCCTTTAGGGAGGGTCAGTGTCCTAGCAGTGGAGGATGGGCATGGCAACTCCAGCAGAGGGGTCTAGGCAGAGCCAGGTGGTATCCACCCGCTCTCCTGCCCAGCTGCCACAGGTTTGGTTGTTTTCTGAGTCCCCAGCATTCTGGCGGGAGATTGCTATCCAGCAGGAACAGCTGGGGGCGCCACTGTTGTAGGCTTGAGTCTTAGTCTGTGTTGTGCTGGGGAAGACAATGGAATCCACATCCTCACCTTGTGCCCTTTGATACTTGTGGCATCCAGTTTAGGAGTCTTAAGTCTTAAGCACAGCATGCAGTCTGCATCTGGGCATTAGACCTCACAGCCACTGCCCTGAGGTATGGCACGTGGGCTTCAGGTTAGACTTAGCCACATCCTTGGCTTGGCTAAGACCACCCTCCTGCCATGTCTCTTGTCCTCAGGGACATGTGGTGCTGACAGATTTTGGCCTTTGCAAGGAAGGTGTAGAGCCTGAGGAGACCACGTCCACATTCTGCGGCACTCCCGAGGTAAGTGTAAGTGTCCTAGGAGAGGGCAGGCTATGAATGGCTGAGGCCACAGCTCCTGAATACAGCCATCAGGTTATAGCCGAGAGAATTTACTCCCTCCATCCCAGCACTTTCTCTGAGCCAGGTTTGCGCTGAGCCTTGGTTTCCTCAGTGTGACAAGGCCACAACCTCTTGGGGTAGCTGGGTCCCTGCTGGCTGTAGCAAAGCTCTGTAAAGACATGCAAACCACATACACCATTTAAAAGTTTCTAGCAACCCCATTTGAAAAGTTAAAAAAAAACAGAGCTGGACCTAGCATGTGCGAGGCCCAAGTTCTACCCCAAGTACCAGCCCCTGCCAAAAAATTAAAGAAACAGGTGAAATTAATTTTAACAACCTATTTTGTTTAAGCCCAAATTCTCATTTTAATATATAATCAATATAAAAATTGTTGAACTATTGGATTTTTCCTAAGTCTTTGAAATCTAGTACATTAAATGTACATAGTGCATTTATTCTCATTCCATGTATTCAGTAGCCATATGGCCTGGTGGCTACTGTGTCAGATGGGCAATGCCAGGGCCTGGCCTGAGACTTAAGATCAGTACTTGTGAATGTTAAACACAGATTCACTTCCCTCTTCCCCAGCCAAGAGCCCAAAGGGTTAAAACACATGGGTCTCAGCAGTAATTCCACGTATCTGTCTATCCTGTCAAGGTCTCCCTGCACCCTTGGGGTTATAGCCCTTTCTTGAACTCCCACCAGTCTTAGACATTGAACCCAAAGGGGATCCTAGTGGCTTGGACAGGGGGCAGGGTAGGTGGGGGCTGCAGAGCTAGGCAGCTCCTCCCCATCTGGCCAAGGGTAGGACTGGAGCTACTCTGTTTTCTCCATATGCCTGAAGGCCTGGGCTTGGAATGCCAGGAATCTCTTGGAATCCTGGATCAGTGTTATGGTACCTGATGGATAGGTGATTTCCCTGAGCAGGCGCTGCTGTCTATGTGTGTAGGAGTGTTCGTTGGATGAAGCTGGCCCTCCAAAGCTTGACAGCTGAGCCATCCCTTCCCAGGAAACTGCCAGCACTGGGGATCAGGGGAATGGAACCCTGGCTCAAGTAGGAAACACATGGCCCCAACTTCTTGCCTGACTCTGCTGTGGCTGTGGAGGCAGGGAGCACAGACTAGAGTAATCATGGTCACTGCCCTTATTCAGGAGTCTACATATATCCTTAAAACAGTCCCCCAGACAGATTCTGCATCCTTATGTTGTGGATGAAACCAAAATCTGGGGTGGTGGTGTTAATGACCTACCTGAGACCACACACCAAATAGGTCTTGGGTTGGTGTGACTCTCTGGAATTCTGCAGACCCACACAGCCTCTCAGGGTAGCTTTGGATTTGCCTGCTGCTGAGGGCCCTCTCCTTAGTGGCAGACATCCCAGGCTAAGACTTACCAAGCCCTTGGGTTTGGCAGAAAGCAGAGATCTGCCTCCGCTTCCCTCCTCATGCAGGGCATAAAGCATAGTGTGTATTCATTTCTCAATGACTTAAAGTGTCACTGTTCCTTACCCTGTATCACTAAGGTTTCTAAGGTTTCTAGTACAAGCATGTGCCATATTTCTTCTTCTTCTTCTTTTTTTTTTTGGTACTGGGGGTCAAACTCAGGTCCTTGTGCTTGCAGGGCAGCCAACAGAACCACTGAGCTAAATCCCTGGCACCAATGTGCCACATTTCTTAGACATTGTCTCTTCATCTCCCCACTGCATAAGAATACTCCCCGAGCTTTCCTGTTCCACAGCACCAGCGGCCCATTAGATGCCTATGTGCATCTGCTCTGGGCAGACTAATTAGGAAAAGCAAAACTAAAGTTTCCAGATGTACTTCTGAACTAGTTAAGGCTTGGTGAATGGGTCACAACCAGGATTGCAGCCCCTTTTACCTCTTTGGCTGGTGAAACTTCTGTGTTCCAGGTGTAGTGGCACATGCTTGTAATTCCAGCACTCAGGAGGCTGGAATGGGAAAACTTGGGGAGTATTCCCACAATGCAGAGGGGGGACTAAAGGACAGTGTCTAAGGATTGTGGCACATGCTTCCCCTGGAAACCTTGGTGACAGAGACCTCAGGAGGCTGTGAGTTTGAGGCCAGTCTGGGTTATATATTGAGTTCAAGGCCAGCCTGAACTATATAGCAAGACCCTGTCTCAAAATAAACAAACAAACAACAAACTTCTATGTGATACACAGCACATTCAACTGTATAGGATAGTCCTGCCTGATCTTTATGTCACCAGAACATGTCAAAGGGCCCTGCAAAAACTAGGCCTTCGGGGAAAAGAAGCTGAATGAGCATGTGCTCCACTACATGAATATCACAGCAGGATCAATCCTTGCTGACCTTCTGTAGGTGCCTTGTTTACAGATGTAGAAACTGAGACTGAAGGTCTTTTCAAATAAGTGTGTTACACTGGTCATTCAAGACATTCAAATTAAAACAATGCTGCGGGCGGGGATTTAACTCAGTGGTTCTGCTGCCTACCCTGCAAGTGCAAGGGCCTGAGTTCGATCCCCAGTACCAAAAAACCCCACAAAAAACAAAAAACAGGGGGGTTTAGCTCAGTGGTTCCAGCGCCTGCCTCGCAAGCGCAAGGTCCTGAGTTCGATCCCCGATACCAAAAAAACCCCCAAAAAACAAAAAACAATGCTGAGATTCCATCTCACTCCAGAAAGAATGGCTGCTATCAAAAAATCCACCAATAACAAATGCTGGAGAGGCTGTGGGGAAAAAAGAACCCTTCTCCTCTGTTGGTGGGAGTGCAGACTGGTGCAACCACTGTGGAAATCAGTGGAGAGATTTTTGCAAAAATCTAAAACTAGAGGTTCCATCTGACCCACCTATACCTCTTCTTGATATCTTCCTGAAAGAATTAAAAGCATCATACCACAGCGATATATGCACACCCATATTTATAGCGGCACAATTTGTAATAGCTAAATCTTGGGAACAGCCCAAATGCCCATTAACTGACAAGTGGATAAAGAAGATATATATATTTTTTGGTACCGGGGATCGAACTTGGGTCCTTGTGCTTGTGCAGCAGGCAGTGAAACCACTGAGCTAAATCCCCGGCCCAAGAAGATATTTTTTTATACAATGGAGTACTACTCTGGCATAAAGAAGGATGAGTTTCAGACATTTATAGCTAAATGGATGGACCTTGAGACCACACTTTTAAGTGAAATAAATCAGACATACATGTTTAAATACCATATTGTTTCTCTGGTGTGAGAAATTGAAAGTGGAAATAAGGACTGAATGATGGATGTTGGGTATAATGGATGTTGGAAAATGGGAAGAAAGTGTTCAAATAGGAAGGGGAGGAGCTGGGGATTTAGCTCAATGGTTCCTTGTGCCTGTGAGCGCAAGGTCCCGAGTTTGATCACCGGTACCAAAAAACAACAAAACAAAACAAAACAAAAACAAATGGGAAGGGGAACAAGGGAGGAGGAAGGGAGAAAGGAAAGGACAAGAAAAAAAGCAAAAACAGAAGAAAAAAATGGAAACAAAGCTTTTGTACATAGGGAGGGGAGGCAGTTGGAGGGGAGGAATGGGAAAAATAAAATTTATTTAAAAAATAATAAGTGTGTTACAGATAAACATGTTTCCCCAACAGTATTTGGCTCCTGAAGTGCTTCGTAAAGAGCCTTATGACCGGGCAGTAGACTGGTGGTGTTTAGGAGCAGTTGTCTACGAGATGCTGCATGGCCTGGTGAGTGGGGTGCTGCTCTCTGCAGAGGACATGGGCTCTGGGGACAGCTGAGGATGGGTCTCTCCCAGCTCTGTGCATGGAATGAAATGAGCCATCTTGCCCCATGTGGAGAAAGATGACACCAATATGAATTCAAGGATTATATCTATTTTTTCAAAGTAAGTTTAGCACTTAACACTTTATAGCATAGTGCTTTACCTTGGGCACCTCAAAGCAGCCTTTGGAGTTAAGCACTGAAGAATACAGAATAGTCTTTGTTTTACTGAGAAGGACACTAAGGCCAGGAGAGGTCACAGGGCTGACAGGTTGGGAGCCCATCCTGGGCCTGTGTGGATCCCAGGGCAAACTCTTCTCTGGAGGTTCACCAGTGTGGCATGGTGCAGGGGAAGCAGTAGGTGCTGCAAGCTCAGGAGAAGGGCCTGCAGGTAGAGGAGCAGAAGAGCAGCAGGAAGGAGAGTTGGACCCTACGTACGGATGGAAGCCTGGCTCTCTTCCCTACTTGCTGTGTGGTTTAATTCCTTGGAGCCTTGTCTTCTCATCTGAGAAACTGCAGCCTCTCTGAGGATGGTTATGAGCTGGGCTAAAAGGGTGAAAGTCAAAGTGTGAACCTGGTGCACAAGCTGGATTAGGAGAGCTGGGAAAGGGGATCCCTGGAGGCCCATGAGCCTCCTGTTCTTAGGCAGAGCCTTCTGCCTTCCCAGCAACCTTCTCCTCTGTGCTAGAAGCCTGGAGTTGCTTATTCTCCCTATCTGCAATGTGCCATTGCACAAGACATAGGTCTGGCTACATCCTCCTCCCTACCTGGGGTGGTCCAAGTGCCCCTAGGTCCTATTTCCATGCTCCACAGGTGACCTTCCAGCTTCTCTCCCTCTCTCACCAGCCACCCTTCTACAGCCAAGACGTTTCCCAGATGTATGAGAACATTCTGCACCAGCCGCTGCAGATCCCCAGGGGCCGGACAGTGGCTGCCTGTGACCTCCTGCAAGGCCTTCTCCACAAGGACCAGAGGCAGCGACTGGGCTCCAAGGCAGGCTTTGTAGGTGACCTGCCAGGAGAGCACTGGCCACTGTGGGGCTCTCAGCTTCCTGCAGCAGCTCAGGAGCACACCAGCATGCCTCCTACTGCCCTGTAAAACCAGGCGCCACTAACTCATTCATCTGGAAATCCACTACTGCTGCTAGCTGGCTACTTTCTTTACTTTACTCCAGTTCTTTTGTTTTTGGTACTGGGGATCGAACTCAGGACCTTGTGCTTACAAGGCAGGTGGTGGCACCACTGAGCTACATCCCCTGGCCCTCTTTACTCCAGCTCTTGATAGTCAGCCAATATTTACTGAGCATCTGCTATGTGCCAGACATTGAGTTAGTGCTAGAGACTTAACAGGCTGGGTCTCTGCCCTGATTAGACTTGGCTGTGGCAAGAGGCTGCAAAAAGACAAAAATCACCCGCACTTATCACCAAGTGACGCATGTCAGTGAGGAAATGGACACTGAGTAGAGTAAAAACAGTGATGGGAGGGGAAAGTCACACTGGAATGGCCACTGGGTCCTCTCTGAGGAGGTGACAGTGAAGCCAGGATTCGAAGGATGAGCAAGAACGGTGCACAGGCCTAGGCGATGGCCCCAGATGCAGGCCACAACATGGGCAAAAGCTCCGTGGTGGGAAGAGGGACAGCAGTGACTCTGGGGTGTTCTGAGTCAGAAGTAGAATGACCTGAGTCTCTAGAAGCTTCCTCTGGCTTCTGTGCAGAGAGTGGGCTAGACTTGCTTTTCACAAATATTGGAACAATTCTCCTTGCCAGAGCCCAGGCTGGGCACTTGAAATTGTTGCCATTCCCCATAATAAGGTCGTGATTCTTTTCTTTTTTTTTTTTTTTTGGTTTTTTGAGACAGGATCTCACTATGTAGTTCAGACTGGCCTTGAGCTCACTATGTAGCATAGGCTGGCCTCTAACTCATGGGATCCTCCTGCGTCAGCCTGGGATTACAGGCATGTGCCACCACACCCAGCTCATGATTCCTTTTTATTAAAGTAGCACTTGAAAAATAAAGCAGCACTTTAAAAATAATCTTACAGCTGGGCATGTTAGTTCACACCTATAATCCCAACACTCCGGAGGCTGAAACAGAAGGATCCCTTCGAGTTTGAGGCCAGTTTGGGCTACATAGTAATTTCGAGGCCAGCTTGGGCTACATAGTAAATTCAAAGCCAGCCTGAACTGCATAGTGAGACCCTGTCTCAAAAAAAAATCTGACATTCTTTACTTAACATAAAATCAGCTAGGGATGTGGTACATGCCTGTAATCCCAGCACTCTGGGAAGCTGAAGCAGGAAGATCTCAAGTTTAAATCCAGCCTGGGCAATTTAGCAACTAAACAAGACCCTGTCTCAAAGAGGAGGGCAACTGGGGATGTACCTCAGTGCTAAGGTCCTAGGTTCAATCCCTGGTACCCCCATTAAAGAAAAGAAAGGAAGAAAAGAAGGAAAGAAAAAGAAAAGAATACATAAGATCATTTGGCTTTACAAACTTACCCCCTGCAGATACCAAAGTTCTTAGATCAATGCCTGGCACATGACATGGTAAAGGCTTTGGAAGTGTTTGTCCCAAAAGCCCTACATTCCAGACACTGAAGAGTATCAACGTTTAGGGCATTTGCCTACCCATCCTTATCCAGCTTGAAGAATGGGTGCTTCCACGAAGATAGGTCCCTTCCCTCCAAAGGGAATAGGTATGACTTTTAAGATAAGTTATATATTCATGGACATATGGAGATCAAAATTGAAAAGGTACAAAAGAGTATCCAAGGGCCAGGGATGTAGTGCAGCAACACACCACGGGCCTGGCAAGCACAAGGTCCTGAGTTTGATCCCAGGTACCAAAAAGAAAAAAGAAAAAGAGCATCCAAAAAAATCTCCTCTGCCCACCTAGCTCCTGAGTTACCAGTTTCTTAGGTATTCTGGAGATATTTAGGGTTTGGCTTTTTAACTCACTCTGGAGGATGTGGGGCAGGGGGGAAGCTGTGACAGGGAGGGTGGCTTCTGATCAGCACCTTCTTCCTACAGCTCGAGATAAAGAACCATGTCTTCTTCAGTCCCATAAACTGGGATGACTTATACCACAAGAGGCTGACTCCACCCTTCAACCCAAATGTGGTAAGAGGTCCTAGAATTCTAGATGTTCCATTCCAAATTCCCAGGGCTGATGAAAGCTTGGAGGGAATCTGGGCCAACTCTCTTTATATGGAGGGGAAATTGGACTAAGAATCTCAGTGATTTGTCCAAGACAGACTCAGCCGTGAGGGATGAGCCATCCCGCCACTCCCTCATCTTTAGCACCATAACCCTTCTGGCAGAGCCCTTCATGGACTTTACAGGACTCTGTGTCACATAACACATCCAGGTAGAGCCACCTCCTTTAGAGATATTTTCAGACTTTTTCCTGATAATAAAATGGCATGTATGTCTTGTACAAAGTGTGTAAAACAGAAATATAAAGCAACAATAAGGAAGTGTTCAGCCGGGCATGGTGGCGCACGCCTGTAATCCAGCACTTAGGAGGCTGAGGCAGGAGGATTGCCATGAGATCAAGGCCACCCAGGGCTACATAGTGAGCTCAAGGATAGCCTGAACTACAGAGCAAGACTCTGTCTCAAAAGAAAAGAAAAAAAATGAGGAAATGTTTAAGGGAAGTGGCTAAGGGAAATCACTTGGTGACTTCCTTCTAGTCTTTTTTCTATTTGGGTTTCTTTTTTGCATAGTTAAGTCATACTTTTTGTGTGTAGGTATGTATGTATGTATGCATGAATCTATCTACATTTGTCCTTTAATATCAGTGGATGCTCAAATCCCTTATATAAAATGGCAAATTTGCATACAACCTATGAATATTCTCCCATATACCTTAAATCACCTCTAGATTACTTATATAGTCATACCTAATACAATGTAAGTGCTGTTATGTTATCTAGGGAATAGTAAGAAGGTAAAAAGTCTCTACATAAGTACAGATGCACTTTTTCTGAATATTTTCAATATGCAGTTAGTTGACTCCATAGCTACAGATTCCCATGGATGCAGAAGTCTGATAGATAGATAGATAGAAAATCTTCTCCTCTTTGGCTAAAAATTATGCCATTATTTTTTTCATGTCACATAAAACTTTATAAGTATCATTTTTAGTGACTGCAAAATACTTAATATTATGTTAATAACATAATTTACTCAACTATGCTTCTCTGGTCAACTATAGGTTAGTATCATTTTTTCCATCATAATGTACTGCTGAATATTTATTTATTTATTTATTTATTTATTTATTTATTTATTGGTACCAGGGATAGAACTCCGGTCCTTGCGCTTGTGTAGCAGGCGGTGAAACCACTGAGCTAAATCCCTGGCCCATTATTTTTAAGTATATATCTTTGCTCAGGATTCTGGCTTCTTTTCTTTTTCTTTTTCTTTTTTTGGTACTGGGGATCGAACTTGGGTCCTTCCGCTTGCAAGGCAGGAGGCGGAACTACTGAGCTAAATCCCTGTCCCCTGGCTTCTTTTCTTTTCTTTCCATCCACCCTTCCATATCTCTCTCTCTCTCCCTCTTTCCCTCTCTCTCTCTCCTCTCCCCTCCCCTCCCCTCTCTTCCCCTCCCCTCTCTTCCCCTCCCCAATCCCCTAGGAACATGAACCCAGGGCCCTCATACTGACCTATATCCCCAGACCTTGTAAAATATTTTTACATTTTGATACTGCTTCCTACCAATGGCATCTGCTGGCAAGCTCTCATCATACTTGCCCTCTGCAGCATGTGCTGTTGCTATTGTTCTTTACTTTGTTTGGTAAGTAAAAAGTGTATTCTCCTAGTACTTTTATTTATATTTCTTTGATTTACAGTGGAGGTTAGTTTTTAGGCATTAGCTTACAGTGAGGCTATGAATCAAAAGGCAACCCATTTGGGATGGATTGGAGTTCTCTTGGCTACCTGTAGGGTGCAGTGTCAAGCAGTATCAAACTTGTACCCAAGCCACCTGAGCACCTGATCATGACCAGTGTTCACTTATTATTTACATTTTCCCTGTGGTGAATTACTTGTCCATGTGTTTTTGAGCACCAGATGACCCCCATCTTTTCTTTTTTGCAATACTTACTGGGGATTGAACCCAGGGAGCACTGAATTGCATCCTCAGGCCTTTTTGTTTTATTTTTGAGACAGTCTTGCTCAGTTACCCAAGCTGACCTCAAACTTGTGATCCTTCTCCTCCAGACTCCCAAGTAGCTGGGATTCCAGGAGTGTGCCACTGAGCACAGCAGAGCACTGGAGTCCTGACGACAGTTGTCAGGATGCATTCATCTGACATCTGAAAAGTTTGTTCTTCTGGAATTTTATTTTATTTTACTTTGTGGTACTAAGGATCAAACCCAGGAGCTTACAAATGCTACAGAAGCACTCTACCACTGAGCTATGTCTCAGCTCTTTTTTGGGGGAATTTAAAAGACAGGATAATGTCAAACATACAGCCTAGGGCCAGGGATTTAGCTCAGTGGAGCTGCGCCTGCCTGGCAAGCACAAGGTTCTGAGTTCAATCTGCAGTACCAAAACACAAAAACAAAAACAAAACTTACTTCTTTTCTAGGGACCGGGGATTAGTTCAGTGGTTCCACCGCCTGCCTGGAAAGCGCAAGGTCCCGAGTTCGATACCGGTACCAAAACAACAACAACAACAAACATACAGCCTAGAGAGAGAGAGCAATATACAGAATCCTAGGAAAGGGGGCTTAGGGTGTGGCTCAGTGGTAGAGCACTTGCACTTGCCAAGCATATGTGAGGCCCTGAGTTCCATCCCCAGCAATGCACACACACACACACACACACTCCTAGGAAAAATGCATTATAATACAGCAGTATATGAACTTTGGAATGAGATATGGGGGGGATGGAATTCTGGTTCTGCTACCTACCACTTGTGGCACCTTGAGTCAGTGTCTTTTTTTTTTTTTTTTTTTGGTACCGGGGATCGGACTTGGATCCTTGCGCTTGTGAGGCAGGCGCTAGAACCACTGAGCTAAATCCCCGGCCCTTGAGTAAGTTTCTTTAGCATCAAATTCTTTTTTTGTAAAACAACAAAACAAAACAACAGAAACAAAAACAAACACACAAACAAAAAACCAGAAAATAGCGGCTTGTCTAGGGCTACACGTCTAACAAGAGCCAGGGCTAGGTCCAGGATTCACATTCTGGTCCTGGAACTTTGAGCCCTGGATTGCACTTGGTGATCCAGTGCTTGCCTAGCTTGAATCCCATTTGTCAATGTCACATTGGCCTACCAAGTCACACAGCTAACCCACATTAAAAAGATGGAGAGAGACTCCACCTCTGGATGAGAAATGAAGTGTCTGTGATCACTTTTTCAATCTCCCACACAGTTTTTCCTCCAAAATAGCTAAAGCTGCTCTAGTCCCTCTCTGCCACATTACACTATTGTATTAACCTTCCTGCTGCTGAGACACAAAACCTGACACCCATAGGGTTAATTTGTGGTAGCTCATGGTTTCAGGAGATTCACTGCATGGCTGGCAGGCTCCAAGGCAAAAACCTCATGACAGAGGGGGCAAAAATGCTTAGTGCTTGGCAGCTGGAAATCAAAACAAATAGTGCTGAAGAGTAATGGCCTAGGGACTATATGAAGTACCCAAGGCCATGCCTCCATGACCTGCCAAGACACACTCAGGAATGTGTGTGCTAATCTCCTAGATGTTTCTTAATCCAATGAAGTTGACAAATCAAAGTAATAGTCACACCTATTTTATTTTCTTCATCTAGACCATGATGGTGAACCTTTTAGAGTTTTCAATAATAACAAACCCCACTGCAGCACTCATGCCACAGGTTCGCCACCACTGATCTAAGACCTATCAGTAACCTAAATTATCTACTTGAATATGTGCTGATTATCAGTCTTACTACCACCTACAAAATGTGAGCTCCTTGATAGCAGAGGTTCATTCTGTTTTGTTCTCCTGCATTCCTAGTGCCATGAAAAGTGCCTGGTAAGCAGTCAGGAAGCACATGCTGGCCAAGGGTTGGTGTGGAGCAGGCAGGGAGCCAGGATGTTAGAGGAAGAAACCACATGGAATTATGTCAGAAAATGATTAATGTAAAGGTATGAGAAAGTGATAGTTAAGTATGGATGACCAGGAGGCACTGTGAGGGGTAGTCCAAGATCCATCCCTACAGCTCTGCACTCCTCTGACAGCACTGACCCTAGTGCTCCTTTCTCATCATTGACTTATATTGACAGGCAGGACCTGCTGACCTGAAGCACTTTGACCCAGAGTTCACCCAGGAAGCTGTGTCCAAGTCCATCGGCTGCACCCCTGATACTGTGGCCAGCAGCTCTGGGGCCTCAAGTGCTTTCCTAGGATTCTCCTATGCACAGGAGGACAATAACATCTTGGACTTCTAGGAGAGAAGCATCTGTGAAGCCACAGAGGCAAGCTGGTAATAACAGTCAAAGTCGTAAGTCTGATGGCCTAAAAAAGAAACAGGTGGATTTTTTCCCATTCCCTAAAAGAACCAGTGTTAATCTGGCCTGGGATGGTAGGACAGGGCATCAGATATGCAGAGGCGTTTTGTATTTCTGTTCTGCTCTTCTTGACAAATGGCTTCCAATATTAGGGTTGTTACATGATAAAAGAAAATGGCTCCTGGTGGTCTAGCCACCACTTTTGTGTTCTGGGCAGGGAAAAAAGGAGGAATGGGGTTGAGGGAATGGCAAAAAGGCACCAATGGAGAGCTTTCCTAGAAGCCCTACCCAATGACTTCTGCTGACATCTCACTAACCCCCTTACTGTAATGGAGCCTAGGCACATGACCGCCCCTAATAGCAAAGGGGTTCTGATGCTAAGTGAGAAGGGGAGGATGCTGGCTACTCTTCAGTTTACACCCGTCAAAGTCCAGCTCTGGCTGTAGGAGATGGGAATGTGGTGTTGTCTCAGTCACAACCTTGTAGGGAGCTAGCACTCTTTACCAGAGGGCCTCTTGGTGTTTGCATTTTTATCTCAATGTATAAAACGATAAGTATGCAACAAAACTATAGGGTATTACCAACATCTTTTACTCTTCTATGTTGATGGTGTCTTTCTTTGTTGTGGGTGCTAATGGACAGTTATTATTGGGTTTGGCTGCCTGACATCTGAACCCCTTCCAGTACTCAGAGAATCCCTTACTTTCTGAGCCTTGATGAGGGGAAATAACTACTTCCACTTAGAGTAACTGAAAAATGTTAGATACTGACTTTCCCACCTTCCCCTGAGCTAGGGACAGGCATGTGGTTCAGAGATGCACTTGTGCCGAACTTTGACCCAAAGAAAGGAGCAGGAGCTCTCTTTCAGGTGGTAGCTGTGTAATGATACCCACAAAACTGAGTTCCTGGTGTAGAAGTAGCATCAATGCAAACTGTAGTAACTGGTCCTCAGCAGTGGCAACTGAAGCATTTCCTCATCAGACCAGTGAATCAGTGTCATTCTTGGAAGCCTCAAGCCTCCTTTTCTGCCTACCCCAGTGATTTTAAGAGCTTCTTAGACTTCAAAACACTCCTTTTTTGTTTTATTGGCCAGAGTCAGCTTGAGAATGCTGCCTTCGTGAGCCACTTTTTGTGCTAGACTCTTTCATGTCAGTTAGCAATTTTCATCCAAGTAACCCTAAAGTAAGAAGTATTACTATCCCCCTTTCTTTTTTTGGTACTGGGGATCGAACTCAGGATCTTGCACTTGTGAGGCAGGCAGAAGCACCACTGAGCTAAATCCTCGGCCCTTTACTATCCCTTTTTTGCCAATGAAGAAACAGGGCCAGAGAAGTTGTTCCTTGCTTGAAGGCCACCCTGCTAATAAAGGATAGAACTGGGACTTGGAGCTACAGAAGCCGGATCCAGGGCTCTTGCATTTAGCCTTTGCACAGGTCTGCCCCTGACTTGGTCTTTTAGGTCCAAGCAGAATGACTGTCAAAATTTCTAATGAGAGCCAAGGAAATATTTGGCTGGAACAACTTGGTGGTGATGAAAAGTGGTTTTGAAGAAGAACATCCAATTGGACCCTCATTCATAGTTGAAGCTGGCTGCCAAGTTAATGGCACATGGAATGCCCATGTGGTGACCAGAGTTTCCTGAAACCCAATGAGTGTCACATGTTCAAGCTTAATCATTTCTAAATGCAATTGACTGGACACAATGTAAGCTTTTAACACTTCATGAATTAAGGACATTCTGCTCTTGGGGAATGAATTATGCTCCTTTATTTTGTGGGAAAGTAGTTTTTTGTTTTTTTCAACAGACCCATGGTATATTCTTCAGCATAGCCTTATCTGCTTTTTCCTTTGGAGAGAAGCGGGGAGAACTTTCTTAGGAACAGTATGTGCTGACAATTTTACTCCCTCTTCCTCTTAACTCAGTCCCACTCCTTTCCTTCAGTTTTTGGCCCCCTCCCCGCTGTGCCCCAAGACTTATGAGGAATGAGGCTGGGAGACCTTGGAAAAAAAATCATCAGTGACACTGACTTATTGGAGATCAAAGATGGGTCAGGAAGAACTAATGTTAGACTTTGACATGTGCTGAGAACACTGAAAGAAAATCTGATTTCCATCTTAAAACCACTTGTTAATTGCCAAATATGGAACCTGAGGACAAATTCTCCCAACTCCCCAAAACAAAAACAAACTGTATAACTGTCAGAAAAATGATGGTACTGTCAAAAGCACGCTATCACCTATGTGTTGTAAAACACATAATGTCCTAAGAGTGTAAAATCACATTGTTTTAATCAGGCTAGAAAAAAAAATGAAGCCAGGCATGGGGACACACACCTGTCATCCTGGCACTTGGGAGGTTGAGGCAGGAAGATCACTGCAAGATCAAGGCCAGCCTGGGCTACATAGTGAGCTGAAGGCCAGCCTGCACTATAAAGTGAGACCCCATATCGAGAGAAAAAAAAAAGATAAAATTATGCTAGTAAACTAATCATGCTACACCTGTTTACTGAATACAGTGTCAGTTTTATGTGTATTATTTACAATTCTTATTACAAGCCAGCATTTAGAAATTATTAACCTCACTTTACAAATAGGAAACATCCACCCAGGAAGATTAAACAACTTGCCCAAGGTCATCCAGCTGGTACAAGTTACAGCCAGGAATTGAATTTACTGGGATCTGACTCTAAAATCTGTTTTTCTACAGCCTCAGTGGGAGTAGTGCTCTGGGCAGGTTCTCCTTTGGTCTTCTAGCAAACACTTACTGAACAACAGGCAGAAGAATCCAAAGCCTGTCCCAGTTCTACATCATTTCCGTTTTGATCCCTAACTGCAGCCTACAGTCACCCAATTTTGCACAAAAACCCAGCATCCTCACAAGAGAATTTTCTGAGCTGAGGATGTAGCTGAGTGTATCTGCTTAGCCAAGGCCTTGGGTTTGATCCTTTCAGAGATCCTCTTCACCTTTTCAATTTGCAGTGACAGCGGTTATGAAAAGACAAGACAAACTGTGCGTTTTAATATCCTCTACTACTCTGTACATGTTGAAGACAAAGATAAATGTAAATCAAAACTTAAGATGTCTCTGCACTTTCTTTGAGACTTGAGGCTGCTGCAGCGTTATACAGAAATCCACAGCCCTCTCAGGGCAGGCACTGGGCACTCTCCTTGGGGAGACGGGTGGCCTGTTTGTGGCTCCAGGCGTCTGTTTTCCCATTTCACGGTGACGGCTCTCTGGTACAAGCAGTTCCTTCTGCTCGTAGCGCCCGCCCTCAGCCCTTGTCCTAAACACTACACTACCACTCTTTTTTTTCAGATCTCTAGTCAGTTCGGGCCCCTCACAACTTCTCGAAGCAGATTATATTTTTATGTTTTGGAGGGAGTTGGCCAGAATCTAACTCCCCACCTGCAGGCGCTTAGGGGGCCATAGGTCACTCATATTCCTTGATGATCAACCTGGCATTCTGGTCCTAAAAAGATGTGGGGATAACAGAAGAGAACATCTTGGGTTACCATTTTCATCATACACCTGCCCACCCGGAAGGTCTCCCCGGGCCTTTTAAGGCCCAGGAATGACTCCGCCACACCTGTATTCCTAGCAATCCTCAACCACTTCCTAATACAGTACTTATAACTCCGCCTTCTTCCTGCCCCTGACTTTCTGCGCCTGCGCCCGAGAGGGGGAACTGGAGGCTGGGTCGTTCCACTCCGCGCCCGCCGTGGGAATCCTTCACTATTTTCAGCCCCCATGGTGGAGCAAACTTTGGGCTCTCGGGGTCTACAATTATTAGTTCTACTAAATAATAGAATAAGGTTGGCTTCTTTATGCCGAAAATAGTCTTCATTTTGTTTAGATTTGCCCCCATCCATAGAAATGGTACAGTCCAGCATAGTTCCGCCCTCTACCCACCAGCCCCCGACACAGGCGGCAATTGGCGGCTGCTGTTTTTGTCGTCATCGCGTCGCGGCGGAGGTAACTCCCTGTCGGGGCCACGCCTTCTCAGAGAGTCGGAGTGCCTTCGCGGTTGCTAAGCGGTCTTGGATACCTGGCCGCGGGATGCTGGGAGACGTCAGGTGAAGATGGTGGTCACTGGGCCTCAGGTGAACAGGGCTGCGATGTAATGGGTCGGCAGGGGCGTCGGGGTGGCCTGGGGTCTAATGACGGCCTAGCCAAACTGCCCGGGAGACCTCTGGGTCAGTTTTCTGAAAACTCCGAGGTCAGCTAAGGTAGTCTACCAAGGGCATGTAAACAATCAGAGATCCCAGACCTCAGACTGGGCGCAAATTTCTTAACGCCTCACACTGAGTGGATTTGTAATCGTCTTACTGAACATGAAAGCGCACTGGACAAGGTATCGTACGGTTTTAGACTCTTGTCTGTCTTCGCTGCCGCTCTTGGTCTTTTTGTCACTCATCTGGAAAAATAGGAGTTGGCTGGTGAGGTTATTGAAGTGAAAGCGAGAGAATGGTTGTACAGCGCAGCCCAGATATTATTTTTAATATCAGTGTTACTGTTTTTAAGCTCCTTGTCCTTAAGGAAACTCATTTCTGTGTAGTTGTGATAGGATAGGACTCCCCAGGACCCAAACAACAAACTGTTACCTGGAAGTGTATCTTTCATTGCACTGTCTCTTTAAGAGCCATCAAATGCGGAAAGGAATATATTCCCTTTTTCAGAGACTCCGACTTTTGGCAAAAAAAATTATTAGTGGCAAAAGCGGAAATATATAAATTCCAGTGCTGGCTGTGATGATTATTTTTTCTGGGATAACCACACAATAGATAGTTCTTACATCCACTCTCCTAATAATTGAGTGCTTTTTAAAAAAAAATCAGTAAACTGGAGAAAGCAGAATGCAATATTGTATGTACAAATATGAAATTAAGTGTGCAGTAGGTGGAATAAAAAGTAAAAAGCGGTTTACAATGGTAGAATCATGGGACATTTTTTTTTAATTATTCAATTGTTTATCATACATAAGACCACATGATTATAATACAAAGGGGGTTTAATGCAAAGAAGTTTTTTTGTTTTGTTTTGTTTTTTGGTACCGGGGATTGAACTCGGGTCCTTGCGCTTGCGTAGCAGGCGGCGAAACCACTGAGCTAAATCCCCGGCCCGCAAAGGGGGTTTAATACAAAGAGGTACATATTTTTTTTTCAACTGGACAAAATGATTTTTAAATTCCACTGGAAAAAATAATGAGACTAGCCTGAAAAATTCTAAAAGTTAAAGGTAATAATGAGAATTGGCTCTTCAGCAGAACAAGATATTATATAACATATGATAGCTGTGTTAACTTTTCATTGCTATGACAGAATATCTGAGAATATCAGCTTAAATGAAAAAAGGTTTATTTATTTTTGGTACCAGGAATCATACTTATGGCCTTGCACTGTGCTGCTGGGCTACATCCCCAGCTAAGAAAGGTATGTTTTGGCTCATCATTGCAAAGGTGTCAGTCCATGGTCAGCTGGCCCCATTGCTGTGGGCCTGAGGTGAGACAGAACATTATGGTGGAAGTGGCTGGTGGAGCAAAGCTGCTTACCTTACAGCAGTGAGGAAGCAGAGGAAGGGCCAGGGGACCAGATATACATAGGCCCCAAAGTCAGCCTCCACGATGCAGTCCCTTCATTTGTGAATTAACCTACAAGATCCAGTCACTTCCCAAAACTGATTAGCAATCAAGCCTCTAACACAATCAGCCTTTTAGAGGATATTTTGGATCTTGATCATAATAGTAACTACATTAGTATGGAACTGAATAGAAACTTACAGGCAGAGAGAATGTAATAGAATTTGGAATAAGACCCAGAGATATGTATAGGGATTTATTATATAGTCAAGGCAATATTTTACATCAGCTGTGAAAAGATGGATTGGTGATGAGTGGCCTTCTAATAATTAAGGAAAAAATAATGAAATCCAGAAAATTTAAATGCTAAAAATTTTTTTCTTCTTCTGCTTCTTTTTTTTTTTTGATACCAGAGATCGAACTCGGGACCTTGCACTTTCGAGGCAGGTAGAGAACCACTGAGCTAAATCCCCAGCCCTAAAAAATTTCTTTTGAGGTAGAGTCTTGTTATGTAATTCAGTTTGACTTTGAATTTGCTATGTAGCACAGACTGCCCTCAAACTTGCAGCATACTCCTGCCTCAGCCTCCTCAGTGCTGGGAATTGTTTAAAAAATTACATCATGGGCCGGGGATTTAGCTCAGTGGTTCTGCCACCTGCCTTGCAAGTGGAAGGACCTGAGTTCAATCCCCGGTACCAAAAAAAAAATATATCATAATAGTACTACTGGAAGAAAACATTGTTGCATGTACTTTCAACATTTCTAAATTTCTAAATTTGTTTGCTTTTTTGGTACCGGGGGTCGAACTCAGGACCTTGCGTTTTTGAGGCAGGCAGCGGAACCACTGAGGTAAATCCCTGGCCCTCTAAATTTCTAAATCTAATGCATTTCTAAATTTGTCACAGAATCCAGAAGATGGGAAAAGATTAGTACTTTCAACTTATAATTTAAAATCTACTGGACTTGGTGGTGAATGCCTATAATTCCCACATTCATGAGGCTGAGACAGGAGGATCACCATGAGTTCGAGGCCAGCCTGAACTACATAGCAAGACCCCGGTGACCAAAAAATAAAAATAAATCTGTAGTACCTATGAAATTACACCAAACGAGCTTCCAGAAGCCAAGTCTAAAGGCAGCTAAACTTATGAAAATACTTATAATGAAAATAGAAAAATATGAAACTCAGTAAAAAAATGAGCAGAGTATATGGTTAAGCAAATCAGAAGAAATACAAGTGACTGATACAGTAATTCCCCCTTATCTTCAGGGAATGTATTCCAGGACCCCTCACAGATGCCTGAAACCACAGGTGGTACTAAACCCTATTTATGCTGTTTTTTCCTATATGCACATATCTACAATAAAGTTTAATTTATAAATTAGTCACAGTAGATAACAGTAATTGTAAAATAGAGCAATTATACTAATATGCTGTAATAAACTAGGGGAATGTCATCTCTCAAGATATAGTGCTGTGTTCAACTTTTTTGTGATGACGTGAGATGATCCAGTGCCTCTGTGATGAGATGAATGAGGAGAATGATGTAGGCACTGTAATATGGCATCAGACCACACTATGTACAGATTACTTGAACACAACCATGGTGATATCAAGACAATCTGATAATTGAATGACGAATAGTAGGGTAGTGTATACAGCAGAGATACACTGAACAAAGGAAAGATTCATAGAGCCGGACAGTGCAAACTTGTTTTTGTTTTGTTTTGTTTTTTTGAAGCAGAACATTTATTGGTACGTTTTAGATATACATAATGATAATATTCACAACAGGGAATTTGCACCTGTACATGTTGTATGTTGCTTCTTTTTTTCCCGTTCCCCTCCTTTTGACGCCTCTTCCCCTCCTTGTTTACAAAAGCTTTGTTTCCCTCTTTTCCTTCTAGTCTCTCTTTTTCTGGACAGTGCAAGATTTTATCACACTACTCAGAACTACTCACAAATTAAAACTTACAAATTGCTTATTTCTGGAATTTTCCATTTAATATTTTTAAGTCACAGTTACCCTTGGTAACTGAAGTCTTGGAAAACAAAACTATGGGTAAGGAGAACTATTGTATTTTATTGGTAAAAGTGACAAAAATTAGGATTGTATGGAATGTTAGTAGAAGTATACATTATTATGATTTTTTGAAGGGGAGTTTATATATTATTCAGCCCCTTAATAGGTAGGAATTCCACAAATATGCAAAGTGCACAAAAATTTCATGTTTATGTTTTTAGCAAATATGTTGTACTAGCAAAACATTTGAAGAAAAACATGTCAATCAGTCATGACTGATTAAAAAATTGTGGTACATCCTTAAAATGGAATACTATGTAGCTATTTGGAAGAATGTGGTAGATCCATATGTGTTGACATAGAAAGATGTCAAATATATAAAGTTAGGTTAAAAAAAATATGTTGCAGCCAGATCTGGTAGTGCACACCTGTAATCTCAGCACTCTGGAAGGCTGAGACAGGAGGATCAAAAATTCTA